TTATGAGACAAGAGGTTAACCTGTCTGTCCATGAGTTTTGCAACTCAGTTGTCAGTCGTGTTTACCCTGCTAAAAAAAAGAGAGCTGCAGCTGAGATGAATCCAAAGCACCTAACAAGAATATGACCCCAAATATCTTCAGCTTGTCTGTGTTTTCAGTGCTGTGAGCAATAAATATACAAAGTGAGAGAATCCTATTGTATGCACATACAATGAAAAAATAGCAATTGTATAAGACTGTATAATTAGTGATTATGCAGCATTGTACTAAATATAATATTCTGAATTGCATTTTTAAAATACCATGAGATACCCAAAACTCATACGTAAGAAAAACCTGAGAAAGAGGTCAGTTCTGTACTCTCTAACTTTGACTTAACACACTTGAAAATCAACAGATAAAAGGGATTAAATTGCTAGGGTTCCACAGTGAAGCTTTCAGGGTGAAAAGAAACTCGGGAATGAAAGTGAGACCTTTAATAGTAGTTCTTAACTCGAGCATGGGAATTCAAGAAAGAGAGGCAATTTCTGAGACCCAATTATGTGACTGCAACTTGAACTGCATGTGTAAGTGGAGGGAAGCTTTAAAGAGCTGGCATAATATTTTCTCTGTTGCCAACCTTGCTAAACAAGGGAGGGCTGTGGCATTTCAATGTCAAACTGCATATGTGCATTCTGGATGTACAACGTGAAAGAAAAAGAAAGTTTCAACAAGATTTCATTTTGATTTAGTGTTACTATTTCCATAGAATATTAGGCTATTCCCAAATACTTTACACTCAACATAGTTTCTTCAAAGAATTAGAGTTAAGAGCAGATAAAACTAAAGGAATTCTCCACCTATCTGAAAACAGAATTTTAGTATTCCTTTCTTAAAAAGAGAGAAATTATGGAAAAAATAAAAACAAAAATATTTCTAATCTTGCAAAATGGGTGTCTTTACATTAAAGAAGTGGCTTATTTTAAAAAAATGAAGGCCTGAGGTTTAGCTAGAGGCAATTTTTACACAAAACTTTTAGAAAATAATACAATCTCCACATATGTATGATAGTTATGTGACTTTGTAAATGCATATTCAGAAAGAAAAAATAGGACCTTATTTTTTCTGACCTCAATCTCTTTGGGGTGGGATTTTTTGTGGGGTTTTTTTTGTTTGTTTGTTTGTTGGTTTGGGGTTTTTTTTTGTTGCTGTTGTTTTGGTTTGGTTTTGTTTTTTGGTTGATTATTTGGTTTTGGGTTTGGTTTGTGGTTTTTTGTATGTATCTGTGAAGGAATTAGAAAAATTACAAAACAAAAACAAGTTGCTTTTTCACATCACTTCAGATATATGGCTGTTTCCCCCGCAATTATAATCTTACTGACAAATATAGTCTTGATCAACACCAAAAATCAGGATACTGATATTCATCATACACAGATGGACCTTTGATCCAATGACATACTCCTCTTTAAATGTTCTTGCAGTAGCCATGCATTTTACGGTGACAGTCACCCTCTTCAGCATATCAGGCACAGTGATAATTCATAACTAATCTGTAATGGTTACCAAGGAGGTGGTGGTGAATATTCAAAGCTACAGTACAGGCCAAGTAGTGCTCAAAATTTCAGTGCAGAATTTTATACAAAATCAAATGATTATACACACTAACAGAAAAAAAATAAAATTAAAAGAGACCATACTTTTGTACAAATATTTGATCAATTATTTGTGGAAATAAAAAAGTGAAATCGAATCTTTTGGAATAAAAATAAATACTTAAATGTACTCAGATTAATAACTTCCTCAAAAGAAACCAAACTGATGAAACCCAGAAATTACCTGGATCATTAACATTAGAATGCCATTTGGTACTTCCAGTAATAATGACACAAAAAAACTTAGGTAACTGCTACTCATATTTATAATTTTATATAAAATTTTCAGTAGAGACAAACCGCTGTTGAGTTTCTGCATTACATGATGTATCTTACTTGATGTGTAGAACAATAATAAAAGCAAAAGTTTTAAACATATTGCCAGAGGCACCAAGCAAAGGAACTAAGGAGGTGAGAGAAAGGGGTAGAAGAGATATGTCTTCAATTTCATGTTATTAAGCATAAAGGAATTAACAGAGCCAGTGATATATTGAATCCTATTACCTGTGGCAATTCTAATTTTGCTTAGTTAGTGGGGATTTCAACAGAAAATTTTGCAATGGGTTTTTCTGTGTGTGTGTGCGTATGCACATGTGAATAGGTATGCATATAACAGAGAGATGGTCTAGGAGAACAATATTAATCAGAGCAAGAAATTTGTTGATTATTCATTATTAATATAACACTAACAAGACAAGAATATTTAGGTGCTAGATGTTGGTAGACAGAAAAAAGTTCTGTTAGTCTTGCACATTGCTTGCCACAAGGAAATTTCAGTGGGGTTGTGGCAAGAACAAAACTGCACCATTTAGTGACATGTAGTCTAAACCTTATTTGCTCAGCGGGATGGGTATAGCGACTGAATAGCAATCTTGTGTTCTAAGATTTGTATTCTGAGACGTGCATGCACACACACACACATTTCACACTGACACAGCTCAAGGTTCCACCTCCTCTGGATTTGTTTATCATGAATGCATGATGCCCACTTCTGGCTCGCAGCCAGGGAAATCCCTACTGAGGACTACTGTGCAGGCACAGTATACATGCTGTTGAGAAGCAAACTGACTGTTACTGCACAGGCTTGATATACACCATCAGCCATTAGCACAAGAAGTAAATATGACTCCTGAAGATTTTACTGAGTTTTATCAAGTTCTGATGGGGATGGATCCCATGACCCCCAAGCTGTTCCTGCACATTCCTAAATATTAAAGGTGAGCAAATAATTAATTATCAACAATTTGCCAAGCTAATCTTCCCGATCAATGACCTTCAAAACCATTTTCTAACAAGATCAGCTTATAGAAAATTTATTAAACATTTATCTTTTAACCTGTAAATACTGTTCATTAGTATCACATAGCACAATTTTTTTTATTAGTAGAATATTTCTGTATTTTTTATGCTCTGCACTTTGGATCAGTTATCAGATGCAGATTAAAATTTGGTTCCAGTAAATATTTATGCATTTCAGTGTCAAATATTGTTTATTTTTTTTGCTATAGTGGTCAATGAGATAGCTAAAATATTTGTAAATTAAAAAAAAAAATCACATATATTTACCCCCAGTAGTCAATCAGAACAATTTAAAAAGAAAATTATAATTTTGGCAACATCTTTACAATTGAAAGAAGTAAGCTTTCACTTAAGAAGTACTGTTAAATGATAAGACTCCTTAAGGAATCAGATGCTGTTTAACTGAAAATCTTGTCACATGTTTTGAGGGATTCTGTGAGTGTATAAACACATAGGCATGCCCATATATATTCACTAATGAAATGCACTAGGTTTTATATAAAATTTTATTGCAATCAGGTATGTAAAATGATAGAATCATAGAATGATTTCAGTGGAAGGGAAATGAAAGATCATATTGTTCCGACTCTCCCTGCCATAAGCAGGGACACCTTCTACTAGACCAGTTTGCTCAAAGCACCATCCAACCTGGTCACTTCCAAGTTTGGGCATCCACAACTGCTCTGGACAATCTGTTCATGCCTCACCACCCTCTTTAGTAAAGAATTTCTTGCTAACATCTAATCTAAAACTATTATCTTTTAATTTAAAGCCATTCCTTCTTGTCTTATCACTATAGACCTATTGTATTGAATAACTTATTAGTTTATAATAAATTGAAAAAGCTGTTTGAGGCTAAATGATTAAAATTATTGTTCCAAATAAATAAATAAATAAATAAATAAAATATTTCACTACTTTTTTTTTCCCTCTGACAAAGATTTTGATTTGAAGTGGTTGGTCTTTCAGTTTCCCAATACCTAACTGTTGGTTTTCTTAATTGCCACATGGAAAAGCTGTTTTACATTTTAATTTTAATTTGGTGTCTTCAGTGCCAGTATGAACCCATGTTAGTTGTCTTATTAAACAGAGGCAATAAACCACTCTACTTTGCTTTCCCAGGGCTACTATTTATTTGATGGGATTTTTGGGTGCTAAAATGACCATGGTGCTAAAATGACCATGGTATTCTCCTCTGCAATACATTTTGGACTACATAGACAAAGTAGCTCAATTCCAGTGCTTCCTGTACTTATCCATTACTTTTATTCTTTGTAAGTAATAATCCTATTCTGTTACTGTTTCAGTCACTGAATCCTCTAAGGCTGAGCCTTCTGAGTATTATCCTGAGCTACAGTGGGATGCTTTGCCAATACATCATGAAGGTTTCTTGGTAGTTTAAAACTTGCTTTCTGTTGTGGACAAACACACAATACAAGTTCCAGGGCTTAACCTAGAAGGTATGAAATAATGCACATTTCTAAATGTTATTTTTTGACTAAAGGCAAAAGCAAATGTCTGAAAAATTAGGACTGTATTTTGGCAGAAGAAAAAAAAAGCAAACACATAAAACATTGACTAAAATAACAGAAGACTCCTGAATGTGGTCCATTATGCCAGAAGTCATTTTCTAGGTAAAAAGAATATTCTTCATACTAAAACCATTTATTTTTCATGTCTTGTAATAAGTAAGCTCTAAGCACAGTTCACTGTGTGATAGATTTCCTTCCACAAAGTTTAGTCTCCCTCAGTCCAAACCTGTTGACAGAATTCTTCAAGAAATTTATCAGCAAGGGCCAATGACAGAGAGGTCACAACTTGTGATACTTCTCATGCATTTTTACATGGAATAATTGCCTTCTTAAAAAGAAGACATATGCAAACACACAGGAAACTCCAAGAAAACATTAATTTACCCAGAATAAAGAGTAAATGTTGACAGTCATAGAGGAGCTCTATCACTTCTATGAGAATCTAATTCTTAAACTCTATAGAAAAAGAAATTAGGAAACTAGTATGTCACCAGGAATTGATCGTATAAAATTTTGTAGTAGCAGTCTAACTTACCTGGCACAGGGAAAAATAAGACAAATAACTCCCGCTGTAAACTGGCATTAATTCATAGTTCATTTTTCTGTCCAACCGTTCCTTTCCTTGAATGCAAGAGAGAAGAAAAGTATAGATATATGCCTAATGACACGTCACAGGACTGGCTGCTGTACAGAGCCCATCTGTGAAGGGCAGTTTCCTATCATGGCAGTTAGCTCATGTTTGCCTATTTTGATAAATATTTAAGGCTCAAGAACTGTTAACTGAAATCAAGGTCATATGACCAGGTGTAGCTGTTTGCTAAGTGAACATCTACCTCTGAGCTGCCTGTTTCTCCCTGTCAGAATGACTAACTCAGGCACGGGTGTAGGCACTTGGACTTCTAAACTTAAATTAGAGTAAGAGTAAGATTCAGTCCTTGGCACTCAAAGAGTTATGTTATGAATAAACAGAATAAACAGCACTATGAGGGGAGAAACAGTGTAAACAACTTAATCTTGCAGTCAGGAGTTTCACAGAAGTCTCTGAAGTCAGGAATTTAGTGTCCTGCTTTAGTGCCCTGATCACTTAATGCACCACACTGACTGTGCTTTACTGTAAGGAAAATAAAAGATTTTTTTAGCACAAATATATATATATACACACATGCATATGCATGTGTATAATAATAAGACAGACATGTACACACAGAGACATACAAGCATGCAATATATACATAAATATTTTTTAAAGTAGCCTCCTCTCTGTGATAGTTGTTGCTGCAGCAGGTAATCAAAAACTGGAATCTGGACAAACTTTTCCTGATACCATCTAAATTTAAGCCATGAGCCTTTGTACTACAGGACTGAAGGAAAGAGGAGGAGGTAGAACATGCTGTAAAGTGACTAGGTAGCCGCTGCTTCAACATATGTACTTCTGATGGACCCTTTCTCAGTGGGAAGTGGGAAGACAGAGGGAGAAAGCAGGACTACTGTGGAGGAAAGCCAGATTTTAAAAAAAATTACATATATTGACTCATACAATAGAGAAAAAATAACAGTTCCTGGGTTGTCCTAGTAAAAGGTGTCAAAGTAATAGTAGTAGTATGTCATTGTCGGATTTTTTTCATTAAAAGGATAATTTATTATATCATTGTTATCTCTGCTGAAATCTCCTTTGTCACAGTGACTTAGCCAACCTAACTATTCATAAAAATGTCTTAAACTTTGACAGCTTCTACATATTTATCTAAGTTAGAGCAGCTGAATTCCATTTGTGGCTAGGAATCCCAGCTTTGACACAATGGAGGTAAACAGATACTTCCAGAATGAAGCTCTTCTTAGCTATCTTATCTGAGATAGCCAAGGTGAGTGATATATTTTATGTTCTTGTTTACAGAAAAAGATGGTTAGACAAGATGCTCAGCTGATATCTGTTGCAATGAGGCTATCCTTAATTTATTTTTTTATCCCTGACTTCTATTGTTTTAGTTCTATCTACACAAGAGAAACATTAGACTGTTCTTTCATTTAGACTCAGTGGAGATAGTTTCACATATCAACTGTAACCAGATTTGTGATTGATGGCAGCCATTAATACCCTCTAACATGGAATTATATACACAGATACGTGCATGTGTTTTATTTAGGTTCATTAATCTAAGTGGTTCAAGGACAGTGCTTCTTTATCTGTTTTCCATAAAACAATTAATTGACATAAATTTGCCTTCTGTTCTACATCATGTGGACTTGAAGTTTCAGAATATTCAATACTGAAACTCAACAATGAAAGATAATTTCACAGTTTCATCATCTATAACTGGAGGTTGTGTATTCATCAACCTGACTCTAGAGTTTTCCTGGGCTATTTTGAATAACCAACATGAAAGAAAGCTTACTTTTCCAAGGAAATTTTACTCAGAAGGGACTGTAAAACTAGAAGCATGAGTTTTAAATGTTGTGACCCATCTGCTTTGTATTATTGCATTATTTGTATTATTTTTAATAAAATTAATTCATTATTTATTTGCATTATGTTACGTGTGATCAGCTATCCTAGCAGCCACTGTTTGGAGGAGTCTAACTCACCAATCATCATCCAACTTCATACATTTGTGACACAGAGCAGAATTTCAGGATGTCTGTGACCCAGTACTCTCATAATTTGATATATGGTTTGTATCAGAGAAGCCAATAACACCTTGTCCTATCATGAATTAACTTCAAAGAAAGGCCAGTCATGAAGTTCCAAATTAAATGAAAAAGTTTGTGCAGTAATTTTCAAACCAGTTATTACGAGAAGAACTGTTTGGTTGCAGCTTTCAACTCATCTACCCTGCATGTTGCCTAGAACTGTAAATGTCAGGTAGAATTGTTTCCCACTCAGATTTCTAACAAATTAGCAGAAAGATTAGCAGAAAGATTAGCTCAGTTTTCTCACTTCTACTCATGTGATTCTCTATCCCATGGGGGAGTGAGTGAGAGATGATGTAGTGCTTGGCTGCTGGCTGGGGTTAAACCACTAAATGGAGTAATTTACGGGAATGTGTACAATTTATGGACTGCTTTAAAGTGATATGGGAACAGGCACAATTTATTCCAGGACGTTTAGGAAAAGGGCTAAGGGTAGAGAAAGAGAGGCATCAAAGTGTGATACCTATTAGCATGGAAAGATCATAGAATCATAGAATCAGCCGGGTTGGAAAAGACCTCTGAGATCATCATGTCCAGCCCTTGATCCACTACCACCATGGTTACTAGACCATGGCGCTAAGTGCCACATCCAGTCTCATCTTAAATACCTCCAGGGACGGAGAATCCACCACTTCCCCGGGCAGCCCGTTCCAATGCCTAATTACCCTCTCCGTAAAGAATTTCTTCCTAATATCTAACCTAAACTTCCGCTGGCACAGCTTAAGACCATGCCCTCTTGTCTCACTGATAGCTGCCTGGGAGAAGAGACCAACCTCCACCTGGCTACAACCTCCTTTCAGGGAGTTGTAGAAAGTGATGAGGTCTCCCCTGAGCCTCCTCTTCTCCAGGCTCAACAACCCCAGTTCCCTCAGCCTCTCCTCATAGGACTTGTGCTCGAGTCCCTTCACCAACCTTGTTGCTCTTCTCTGGACCTGCTCCAGCACCTCAGTGTCTTTCCTGAACTGAGGGGCCCGGAGCAGGACACAAATGGAGAGTAAGAAGTGATTGACGCTCCTCTGTCCGAACTCTGCATCTGATCTCTGATCTTACTTTTAAATCCCATTCCTTACTATTTTCTGTGTGGTCTTGCTATCTTCTCTCCATGTGATATGTGTTGGAGGATGATTTACTAGCGAATGTCAAGTTGGACGAGCCAATGAGTAGGAGGTCACTCCCATCTGACCAGAACCCAAGATCTGAGGTGATGGCTGGTAAGTGTCGCAGGGCCCATGACAGTACTTGAGGGGGTTTTGTGAATCAAGAAAATGGAAGTATGTTTGTGCTTCACTGATTAGCTTCAAACCTGATATGACACAGAAGGGAAAGAAGCCTGAATTGTCTGTGTTCAGGTCTGCACAATGCTGGTGTTTGTGTGGGTGTTGGAAAGGGCCATGCTGTCTGTGTGTTGGCATGTGGCCAGTCACATCAGCTGTACTTATTTTTGGGACATTCATGGGTATTCAAGTACTGTCTGGACCTGGAAATGACAAAACAGCAAGCAGACTGTCTGAGAGGAGAAGTTTCCTGGGACTATGAGTCGTAATTCAGCCTGGCCTTAGCAAAGTCAGCCCTATTTCATTCATACGAAGGTTATTTTCAAAATATGTCACATATACACAACAAAGGGCAAGAATTTCTTTCCAAAAGTAACTGATCTTTCACTCCCCCAAGTCCTGGGGTACAAGTTAGTGAAAGTAACCAATTGACCTCAGTCCCTTCTTTGAAGACAGGGATTTCCTTTAGTTCTTCCATCTGGTCTGCTCCATGACAGAGCAACTCAAATTCTTACAGCAAGTTCTTTCCAACTATCATCTTGGTATCTCCTCAACAGGAGTAAATATCTGGTAGTATTTGAGACTTATGGAGGGTAGAAAAATACTGTTTAAATATCTATTAACACATGTATTATTTTCTCTAACATATTAACAGTTTTACCTTTAGTTCACGTAGAATCAAATCATACAAATCACAAACTGGCAAAGTCCTTCTCACAGGATTTATTAAGCATCATATTGGTATTTGACTTTTAAGGAATATTAAGATTCACCAATAAAGAGAAAACAAAATTATTTCTACTCTCCTGTCCCTAGGCTTTGCTGTCATTGTTCACCCTCTAAAAACTTTTGTTTTCTGTAGAATGTATAATTACATTGCATTTTCAAGAGTGCTAAATGAGAACATGCAGGTACCTATGCATCAACTAATATAAACCAAAAAAACCTTAACTATTTTTACATTTGACTTTAACAATATGATCAGGTTAATGATACATTTAAAGTTAATGAACCAATTATTTTTAGACTAAGCAAAAAGTCATTTTACTGTGCAAATAGCTACTCACTGTCAGTGGTCTTTGCATTGCTGTTTGCATCTCTAAATTAGTCTTGAACAATTCTTAATAAGATATCAAGGAATGTTTCTACTGATGCTTTCTAAAACTGACTGGTACTCCAAGGAATGCAACATCTTTCTGAAAAGTAATTTTATTCATTCAATATATATGTGTCCATAACATGATATTGTAGAAGTCTCAGCAACCTCATAGCGTTATATGGAATTTTATGCAATAACCACAAGTGTATGTTATTGTTTGCCTAATAGAGTATTCTTAATCTGGTTAAACACAGGAAGAATTGACATAATGACAATGACAATGACAATAGCAGTGTGAGATTAACAGCTAAATGTTTAGATTGGTGAAGAAGAGAGAAGGCAAAAGTAATAGTATACAAACCGTACCACAAATCCATGTGTTCCAGAAATATTTTATGGCTTAGTATTATACAAAGAACTTTCCAAAATGCGAAATCGTTTTTTTTCTTGTGTTATATAGGCAGTAAATTATGTTTTCTTTCGTCTGAGTCAACTGTGCCATTCCTGTTATTCCTGACAGAAAGGAGACAGAGAACCCTTGGTATTGGCAAGTGAGTTCTGCAGCCAAAAGTATTTTAAGCAGAAATTAAAAAAGTATTGTGAATAGCTAACCTCCCATGTCATGTAAACATGCTGCAGAAGTAACATAGGTATTTGT